ATTCCACCCAAACACCAAAGGACATACTTTCTACTCAGCACCCCATGGAACTTTCTCCAAAATCGACCATATACTGGGGCACAAAACAAAGCTCAGCAAATACAAAAAGATTGAAATAATTCCATGTGTTCTATCAGACCACAGTGCAATAAAGCTTACAATCAACACCCGAAGAAGCCAAAATCACCACACGAACACATGGAGATTAAACAACACACTCCTGAATGATGGCTGGGTCAAAAGAGAAATTAAGAAATAAAAGTATTCCTGGAATTAAATGAAAAGGACAATACAACACAACAAAACCTCTGGGACACGCTGAAAGTGGTTCTTAGAGGGAAGTTTATAGCTCTAAGTGCCTACATCAAAAAATCGGAAAGAACACAAATAAATGACTTAACACTGCAACTCAACACACTTGACAAGCAACAGCAAACAAAACCCAAACGCTGCAGACAAGAAGAAATAACAAAAATCAGGGCAGAAATCAATGAAAGTGAAACAAAGAAAACAATACAAAGAATCAACAATTCCAAGAGCTGGTTCTTTGAAAAGATAAACAAGTTTGACAGACCACTAGCCCAGTTAACCAAAAGAAGGAAAGAGCACTTCCAAATGAACAAAATCAGAGATGAAAGGGGAAACATCACAACAGACACCAGAAAAATGCATAATATTATAAGGGAATACTTTAAAAACCTATATTCTACTAAATTTGAAAACCTAAAAGAAATGGATGGATATCTAAAGGCATGGGAACCACCAAAATCAAGCCAAGAAGAGATTAACAGCTTAAACAGACCCATAACAGGAAAAGAAATTGAAACAGTAATACAAAACCTCCTGACTGAAAAAAACCCAGGAATGGATGGATTTACAGCAGAATTCTACCAGACATTTAAAGAGGATCTACATCCAATACTACTTAAGTTATTACAAAAAGATAGAAATGGCGGGAGAACTTCCAAATTCCTTCTATGAAGCCAGCATCACTCTAATAGGAAAGCTAGGTAAATATAAAACCAAAAAAAGAAAACTATAGGCCCTTATCCTTAATGAACATAGATGCAAAAATTCTCAACAAGATACTTGCAAACCAAATACATACATCCACATCAAAAAGATCAAGTCGGCTTTATCACAGAGATGCAGGGATGGTTCAGTATGCGTAAGTCAATAAACGTCATAAATCATATAAATGGGCTCAAAGACAAGAACCACATGGTCATCTCAATAGATGCAGAGAAGGCCTTTGACAAAATTCAATGTGCATTTATGTTCAAAGTCCTAGAGAGAATTGGACTGGAGGGAACATACCACAACTTATTTAAAGCCATATATAACAAACCCACAGCCCAAATCATTCTAAATGGAGAAAAACTGGAATCATTCCCATAGAACTCAGGAACCAGACAAGGCTGTCCACTATCTCCCCTTCTCTTTAACATAGTGCTTGAAACTCTTGCAAGAGCAATAAGACAAGAGAAGGAAATTAAAGGAGTAATAATTGGAAAAGAAGAGCTCAAATTATCCCTTTTTGCAGATGATATGATATTATATCTGAGATGCCAAAAATTCCACCCAAAAACTCCTAGAAATTATTAGCACATTCAGTAAAGTGGCAGGTTACAAAATCAACCTACAAAATTCTGTGGGCTTTCTATATACCAATAACAAGCAATCAGAGAAAGAAAACATGGAAACATTCCCCTTCACAATAGCTGCAAAAAAAAAAAAAAAATCTCGGAATAAATCTGACCAAAGACATTAAAGAGCTCTACAATGAAAATTTTAAATCTTTAAAGAAAGAGATTGAGGTAGACCTCAGAAGATGAAAGGACCTCCCATGCTCATGGACTGGAAGAATTAATATTGTGAAAATGACCATCATACCAAGAGTCATATATAGATTCAATGCAATGCCAATCAAAATCTCCAGGACATTTTTCACAGAATTGGAAAAAACTATCCTAAGATTCATACGGAAGCACAAAAGACCATGGACAGCCAAAACAACACTGAACACTAAGAGCAATGCCAGGGGGATTATCATACCAGATTTTAAGCTGTATTACAGAGCTTTAGTAATAAAAACAACATGGTACTGGCACAAAAATAGACCCCATAGATCAATGGAACAAAATTGAAGACCCAAATATGAGTAAATGCAATTTCAGCCACCTGATATATGACAAAGGGGCCAGGAATATCCACTGGAGGAAAGAGAGCATGTTCAGCAAATGGTGCTGTCAAAACTGGATCTCTACTTGTGGAAGAATGAAACTAAACCCCTAACTTTCACCCTGCACAAAAGTCAATTCCAAATGGCTCAAAGACCTTAATGTAAAGCCTTATACCCTGAAACTACTAGAAGAAAACATTGGGAAAAACCTACAATATATAGGTGTAGGAAAGGATTTTCTAAACCGGACATCAATTGCTCAGGATACGAGGTCAAGGATTAACAAATGGGACCTCATTAAACTAAAAAGCTTCTGCATATCAAAGTAGGCAACCAAGAAAGCGAACAGAAAACCCAAAGAATGGGAGAAAATCTTCACCAGCAACACATCTGACAGAGGTTTTCTATCCAGAATATATAATGAACTCAAAAAACAGAGAATCAAGACAAGAAGCAACCCAATTGAAAGACAGGCTAAGGAGCTGAACAGAGAGTTTTCAAAAGAAGAAGTAAAGATGGCTATGAAACATCTTAAAAGATGTTCAACATCACTAGTAATTAGGGAAATGCAAATTAAAACCACTTTAAGATTTCATCTTACCCCAGTCAGACTGGCTAA